AAAAAACAAGGTAAATGTCCTAAAATCTGAGCGTGCCCTTTTAACTTGTCTTCTCCAGAAAAGTTTTGGAATCTTATGCTCGAAGCACCATTAGTTGGGAGATTAAAACTTGCACTCAGAGGCAGCCAGGAGCTTTAGATAGTGCAGTTTGTTCGCCTGTAGGTATTTGTGCAGGGTGGTGGCAAAGGGAATGAGGCACTTTCTCCCCTCCAAGTAAGAAGCTGAAATCTATGCTACTGGTTATATCTAAGTTTAGAGTACAAGGCTTCTGCCCATTTCTCTATTGCTATCTATCTATAAGTTTGTACACAAGTAAAAGATGGTGGGAAGGAGAAGTTAGGAGGCAGAGGTAGAAAACAAATTTGCAGTATTGATAAGACAAAAGCTAAACCAGCACATGGATTAATAAGGATAGTGAACAATTGGCTACAGGTGAAGTAGCTTTCATGCCTGTATGGCCATCCAAATTGACAAAAAGAACATTAGGAAGCCTGTAAGTTTCTTCTCTAGGTAAATACTGCTGGGTTATAAGTACAACTATTTCTATTCATTCAGTTATAATAATACTTAACACTTAATCTAGTTTGAGAACCACTGCAAATATTTTTATCATACCTACTTACCCTGTGGCTATTCAGACAGCTTTGTTTCTTAATATGATTAAATAACCAAGGAGGTCCATGGTGGACAGTGTGGCTTTTTTTGGAATGTAGTTTACATCTGAATTGGAAAGGGGGAAAATGTAATAGAGCTATACCGTCCACTAACAATGCTGATGAAGTGGAAGCATTTCTCTACTTCTGTCCTTCAATTCCTTTACCTCAAAAAAAGGGAATATAGAGTCAAAAACCGATTTATTCTGTGAATTCAGATCATGACCTAAAAGATTATCTTACCAGCACTGAGATGTTACTATGTTTTATAAAAAGGTAAACTCAGTTTGAAAACTTCTGTAGAGAAATCCCCTTGGCAAGTGTGATATAATTCACAGATAAGTGGTTTATACAAAACGCCCATCATAAGCTAGATATATTGAGGCATTAGTTAAAACATATTTTTTGCACTATATTATTTTGTGCATATTATCAAATGTAGCTGACCGGTGTGGCTGAACAAATTGTTGATTGTTAGCACAAGAAAGTCTTCCTAGTATTTTTATGTGAAGCTAGCTTTCACATAACTTGTCACATGTACTTTTTTATTTATTTATTTTTAAAGGCTAGTCAAGTGAAGCAGTGGAGAAGGAACAAAGGAATCCATAACTGGTTGTGATCAATTAGTTGTAAACACCACTGCACTAATTAGACCAGTCGTACTTTTTTTTTTTAAAGCAAACAATTCAAGTCTACTATTTGCATAACTTGAAAATCAAGATGTGTAACATCTAATATATATTTAAATAGCTTTGATTTCTCAGCAGAAAGTTTTACAACTGTCATTCTTTAAATATGTTTATTAAATATGAAAACTTGAACACTTCTGGCATATTAATGGAAAAAATTATTTAAACCATTTGTAATCCTGATACATACACTAAGTTATTTCTTCCTATCTTAGGATAATAAAAAAAATAAATCACTTCTATTTTATGTTCATTCAAATTTGCATTTAATTTCTATTTACATTCATTCAATCCAAAATCAAATAATACAGTAAACTAAATACAAGATGAAAAGCAGAAAAGGTGTTACCCTCATAGCACTCCTAATAAGGCAGCTGAAGAATTTATTTACTCTGATAGATGCAAAGCCAACTTGGGATAGAAGAAATAATAGGTTAAAGAG